TACTTCCAATTATATTTCCTAGGTTTAAAAATTCGACATTCACATGAAGGTGGTATTTATCTTATGTTAGGTTGCTAACTGTAAGCTAATGACATTTGTTTGAGACGCAAGTAAAGCATGTGGGAATGATTAATTGCTTAGTTGGAGCTGAAGCAAGCTTAAAAATCACGTGTACCGGAAATTTTCAAAATAATATTTTTATAGATGGTCAGATTCATAAGTTAACACAGTATTCCTATAGTGAAATCAACTAGTTTGAAACTATTTTTCAATAAGTATCAGCCTGAAACTTCGACTCACACTGGAATATTCAAACAACGAAGGTCAGGAAGGAACAGAGGATGATATCTCCTTCGAATCTTTAAAATGTTATAGAGGAGTCCGTCGGGTCGCTGAAACTTATCTTTCGAACAAGGGCTCATTTTACTAAAGATTATTGATTGTGAAATATTTTTGTCAAAATAATAATGATAAACATTTTATATACATATGTTAAAATTATTTTATGGCTGGGTGGATAAAGTCGAAATCTCCTCGTGTGGGGTTTCTTTCCCCAGGAAACCAATCACCTAAAAGCTAATGGTAAGGAAAATTACGTTCTATGAAATTAATATACCATATACCTAATAATTAATTGAGATACTGTGATGAAACGGGGTATGCACGTTCCTGAGCAAACAGAAATTACGAGTGGTGAGCGCAATCGGACCATTGCCAGGCCCCTAAAACGTCATTAACCGAAAGCCTCTAAAGTGCTATAACCATGCACGGCCAAGAAGAGTAAGTTATGTACATTTCTCCTAAACCACTAAAGCTACAACAACCAAATTTGCACAAATAAGGTAAAAAGCTCTACCGACAGTGTGAAAAATAATACAATCCCGGCAACCCCGCTCACTTCTCATATAACGGTACTGTTAAAAACTACCGCAATTGAAGAAACAGATATTGACAACATCTGGGACTACAGCACGAACAACATCCGAATTATTGCGTGGAAATTTTGGAGATTCGATTATTTGAAGAAATTGTGAAAATTACATGGCCTCCAAGCTGTGGAGTCGCTGGTCTATAGCAATAAACCAGACTCTGTTCTAGCTTAAGAAGTCAAAATCGAAAGTGATATTACGGCATACGACTTGACTTAGTGAGTTCATCTAATTCGTTCCGGAAAAAGAAGTCTTGGAGGCGATTTGAATGATGTCATATAAAGAAATTAATACTTTTCCTATAGCTAAAAATAGTAACTCTTTAAGAGCCAAGCAAGTCTGAAAATTAAAACAAAATACACGCCAAATTTCCTAATATATTCAGGACTATTCACAGGACTTGTAGTGCCCGAAAACAAACCTATATCATGTATAAAAAACAGAAGGGATAGTTTATCAGCTGACCTCTCCTAAAACTTACTGAGCACGGTTAGGCATATTTCCAGCGTTATTGCATTCCGACATTGAGAGTCGTCAGTGAATTGCATGCTTCGACATAAAATATTTCCTTTTTTGGGCATTTAATGGCCAAGAAATTTACTTTAAAATATGGATTGTTCCGTTGGCTGTATGACATGTAGCGCCATCTTGCTGCAATCAAATGTGATCCATATAGACATTCTCCAATTCAGGCACGAAAAAGTCTTTAATTATGGCGTTCCCCAGTAACAATGGGGCACTTTTTGGTGTTTTCTGACCGAATTTACACAATTAATGAATGGATTTTTAATAATATCAGAAAGAAGAGATCTCAGCAACCATAAAGATTAATTACAATTGAAAAAAATTCGATATTTCCTAATTGAAAATTAGGATTTTTCCGATATCAGGATGTAAGGAGAAATATTAAATTTTTAATATTTAAAAAATGGGTTAAAAGAAAATAAATTTACACCAAATTTCGTGACAGAAAAAAAAAACAATTTATGTTCAAGATAAAAATAAAAAAACGTAAAATTTTGTTATTTGAATTTTTCACATATGTATATTTTGAGGTTATGTGAAAAAAGTCTATACACAAGTTATATATACATCATTTCATTACCTACAACACTGCCGATTAAAATTTTTCCACAGTATCTGAAGTAACGGCGTTAAGCCCTTAAAAATTTAACCACCATGTAATAATAGAAAATCTTAAATTAATTTAGCAAGAGATAAAATTTACAAAAAGAATTAAGCAGCTTTTTGTAAATTTTATCTCTCACTTTTGGTATAATTCAAAACTAAAACGGCTGTGTAAACTGACGTTGAGAATTACCAAAAGCTCTGTCAGGATCGGGAAGGAACTTTCCGACCCGTTCAATACCACACTCTCAACTGCCTTTCATTCGCATTGTTCAATCTACTCTTGGAGACAATAATTCGGAGTGCAGAGCTGAATCGAGAAGGTACTTTCTTTTATACGGTATCATTGGCCGCAAAAACCGCGTTGTTGGTTCTGCTTTCTCCAGAATGGATAAGGAAGCGAATCAAATGGTTATGGTAATGGTCTGGTAATGAACGAGGGCAAGAGGAAATATCTCCTGTCATCAACAAAAAACCAGTCATTGCACTCCCGAATTGGGCGCCATCTCACTATTGACAGTCATAAGTTCCAAGTCGTAGATAATTTCGTCTATCTTGGAAACAGCATCAACAATGTCAGTCTCGAAATTCAACGCAATATACGCCTAAGGAAGCAGACGAAGAGGAAGACCTCCACTCCGTTGGAAAGACTAGGTTGAAAAGAACCTGGCTACATTTGGAAGCTCCAATTGACGCTAAGCAGCGCTCAGCTATAATCGCGTAAGCGGTGTCTATCCCAATAAAGAAGAAAAAGAATTCAGCGAAATGGAGCTCCATATTTATGCTGGCTAGGACATGCCGACTATAAATTTACAGTGCCAAAATAATTAATTTTAATTGTTGAATAAAATATTGAGGCTTCATTTTATTTAAAAATGAAAAGGTAAATGGTTTGACTTGACCTGGCAATTAAAAAACGCATACCGTGGCCTTATGAACTGGAACCAAAAAATATTTTATTCAGATTTACTCCAGTCAAGTATTAATAAGAATGACGTGATTCTTCTTTATTGCATAAATATGTGTATGCGTATTCGAAAAAACAATTTAGCAAGAATCATATATATGGTCCCACAATGCCATTCGTTCAATATTCCAAGAATTGCTAGTTTGGAACGGCTCCTCACCTTTTACGATCGACAAATATTCACAATTCGGAAAATTTAAATCATTACATTCTTCGATGCCAGCAAATTCATCTGAATAACTAAAAAGAAACATGACACTAACTCATACACATATTTTTAGACCTACTCACCCATTTTCGGCAAAAGACTGATATAGCCTCACATAGCGTTTAACCAACGCTGCCTCAGGAGACTGTTTTGCATAACCATTTGATAATMCGACTGGCCCATTRAACAGATACAGCGAATCATCAATGTGTACAGTACCGAAATCTTTTGAGCTATTTGTATAATATGGAGAATATGAATAGGGTCCGCGGTAGTCAAAATTTATTATTCCTCTTAAATCACTGCGACTAGAATTTACATTATATTTTAAAAGTCTGTAAGTTGGATGTATGAAATAGGCGTCTCCTAGAAGCTATACAAGAAAAAAGATTAAATGAAATTACTTTCATATGCATGGATATTTCATACTTATTTACCTCTAAAAAGCCATTCAATGTTTCATTATTCAATTCGCGTTTACCATCCATATACTCGGTTACCAATGAATCTATCACATCTTCTGTGTCACATGTAGCAGGCAAGCTCAGTGTAATGCTTAGTCTCTGGCTAAACTTTTCATTTAATTCTTTCTGCAGATTCTTATTGCTTGCTATTCGAAGTGCTATACCCAAACCCTCACCCTTAGCAGGTGCATTACCAACCATCCACGAAATATCAGTGTTCGTTCCAAACGGTATGAATGGGTCGAATGGATCTTTTGTTAAGAATGCACCAGGCCAAGTGTCATCTTCAATATTCGGGCGGAATACTACAAGTGGCTGCTCAGCCCAAAGTTTAAGATCATCGGCGGCTAGAAGTAAGTCTTCCGGTTTGATTGATCGCAATGCTTGAACTAGGTCAGCRGAACTTAGATTCTCAGCTTCTGTTACACCAGCAGCTTTAGCCAATTGAACGACTTGGTCTCTAGGATCCTTTACTGGCAAAGCGAATGGTGAGTTTCCGACGCCACTCATCATAATAGC